ATGCGTATTGGACTAAATAATGCAGGTGAAGCCACAGACGGAAACTAGTAAATTACTTTTATTATCATCAAATATGAACATTTACTGATTTAATACATTTTTTACAATGTTATAGAAACTAAATCATAATATTATAACTCTCCAAAACAAATATTTATAAAACAATTAATAACTAATCATAATCATTAGTATTAAAATTAATTATATTATTAAACATACGGTTGATTTTGTTAAATACTTACTTTATAAGGCTTGACTTCCAAAAAATGAGACACGATGTTCGACACGATGTTTGAAGTGAAACCTCTTTAGAAACGTTGTGATTTGATACTCGATGAAACGTAAATGCGACAGGAGAAAGAGACAAATCTTTATATATATAATTCTTCTGTGAGTGTGTATGTCACTGAACTTCTCTCAAACGACTGGACCGATTTTGATGAAATTTTTTGTGTGTGTTCAAGGGGATCTGGGAATGGTTTAGATTCACAATTTGAATAATAATTTTCATCAAAAAAAATATTAAAAAAAATTTGAAATTTTCAAATTAAAGACGTGTAGACAGGACAACGTCTGTCGGGTCGCTAGTATAAATATATAGGATTAAGCTGTCGTAAGAGTGAGATAGAATACATTAGACGGGAAGTGAAAAATAATACTGAATAATATGTTATGTAATATATGTAAAATAAAATATAAAAAAACTTTTAAACTTAGTAAAAATAAAACTAGATCTTATCCTACTTCTGATACTCTATTTTCATCTCATTCTCTCGTTGATTACTTTTCTGAAGTTTCACTTCTACCGTGTGTAAATTGCATACACACACACTTTTTATTTTTATTTTTTATGTATTTAAGCTACCAATCTTGCTAGTAGACAACTCTATTAAGGTAGAACCCAAATCGAACCTATATAATTTTCTTTGACACAAACAAACAAACCGACGGCAAACTATTTAAGAATATCTATAAAGTGTGAATTAAGATCTCGTCCATTTATTTCTTACTTCTTTTATAACTTACATTTTTTTATTTTTATCTTTTTATTGATAATTTCAGAAGTACTATGTCGTTGGAATAAGATTGTTGTTTAATTACTATCATTAATGGGATTAAAAGTATCATTTGAGCTAGTCCCTTCCATGGTCTAATTGGATGCAAAGTTACATCTAAATCTGTTTTGTATTGTATTCAGCCCTTTTTAACGTCCTACTACTGGGCACAGGCCTCCCTTCAATACGAGGGATCAGGCTATAAACCACCACGCTGGACAAGTGCGGGTTGGCGGACTTCACATGTCTTACGAAAACTTGCTAGGTTCTCATAGACATGCAAGTTTCCTTTCCCTATAAGGCTATAAGGGTAATCGTGTTAGAAATGATTCGTACATGAATAAATCAGAGATGCAAGACCCGGGATTCGAACCCGCTTCACTCGGTTTCCCAAGCGAGCGAATCCCAAGCAATTCGTTCCGTATAAATAAATCAGTTTATTACTTCAGAAATGATTAAAACAAACAACTAAGCCTATCTTACATTATATTATACATCTTACAATGTAATATTAAAAATATGGATTTTTACATAGCATGAATTAGAATCAAAAATTATCTTGAAAATTATGTCGACTTTGAAGTAATAATTTCATCAAAATCGGTTCAATAATTATTGACGGTGATACTCATATATTTTTAAATTTTAATATATAAAAATAGTATTTTTAATATGTTTTTTTACCATTACGGAGTTTCAAACGTAGACTTGTACAGTAAGGAATGAATACGATTGAATGCGAAGTCCATTCGCGACTCGTATAGCCATACGGTTTGTAATACAACGCCCATATTAAATCATTTCACTCACATAACTTTTTCTTCTTGATGTTTATTGTTTTTCATACAAAAACGATTTATTGTTTTACGCACATTTGTTGTCGACTTTTTATATTTTTAACACATTAGCGCGTTCTCAGTTTCAATTTAAGTTTACAGGAGATTTTTCCTAATAAATATTTTATTCATATGTTTTTTTTGTTTTTTTTTCTTTAATTGTTTAGAGTTGCGTTAACAGACGCAATATATTCTGCCAGTGTCACGTCATAAGTGTTTAATTAATCTATACATATAATAAAATTGTAATTAAGTCGAATCTGTACGTTAAATATTTTTTGGAAATTCTTATTGAAATAGACATATTATCGATAGAGAGTCCGAATCTATAGTTTTTAGAATTTTTGTCTGTCTGTCTGTCTGTTACCGCATCACGAGAAAACCACTGGACAGATTTTGATGAAATTTGGTATGATGATAGCTGGTTATCCGGGTCAACATATAGGATACTTTTTACCGCGAGAAAATATCTCATTTCTGAGAAAAATACAAAAACTGCATTGTAAGATAATACTAATATGTAAAACCTAAGAATTTGGTTTTTGGTCATCTGATCGCGGGCGGAGTCGCGGGCAATGCTAGTAAGTTATATATGTATAATACTGACTAACTAATTTATTAAGTGTTTTTCTATACATACACCATATTGGCTATTTATAGTTAAGATAAGGGTTACAGCCTCTCCCCCCTCCCCCAAGGTGCGTTCACCTTGTCGTGGTGGGGGGGGGGGCTCATTAGCGTCCGGCAGTTCAGCCGGGCGCGAAGCTAAGAAACTCACACGGCAGCGGCACACTTCCTTCCGGCACATTCCTGGTACTTCTCTGTATCATCTACAGGTGTTATGCGTAAATGAATTTCCCAACATTAAAAAAAAATGTTATCTACAGTTGTATACAATATGCACGGCAGAGTCATAGGTAAACTTATTAATAAGAAATCGGAATAAACCTCAAGCCATTTGACCTAAGAGATGACGATTTTGAAATTGAACGTATTAAGCTATAATTCCCGCTTTATTTAAGTCCTAAATACACTTCACGCATGTGTCCTGCAAAAATAAAATACCAATATCTCATTGAAAGCTAAATGTTATCTATACTCTATACCTACTAATATTATAAAGATTATTTTCGCATTAGATTTTCATTGCCAGTTTATTAAGGAAGGCTATTGGCTATATATCATCATACTGTTGCCCAACGCGGAGCAGTAATCTATACTAATATTATAAAAAGATAAAGTTTGTGAGTTTGTGACGTTGTAGGGGGTAATCTCTGGATCTACTGAACTGATTTAGATGAAATTTGGTAAGAAGATAGTTTGAGATCCTGGGAAGGACGTGAAATACTTTTTATCCCGGAAATCATCCCTTAAGGGGGTAAAAATGGGGATGAAAGATTGTATTCTGAATCAACCTAGGGACGAACCTGAGCGAAGCGAGAGTGAGTCGCTAGTATAATATACAGTTTACCTATTCCATACTTACCATTAACGTACCTAGGGACGAATCCGAGCGAAGCAAGGGTAAGGTATAAAGCTTTCTAAGATTGATGAAACAATTGTTAGAATCGGAATTCTACAGATTCTACTAATTTAAATATTGTTGTGTAAATGTGACCACTAATTTAATGTGATACGTGATAGTATGTCTTTGTTTTTTGCAAGCAGAATTATTATTGTTAAAATTAAGAAAAAAAATTCAAGATTACTCTTAAGTCGTGTCTGGATTTTTGTCGTGGGCGGGAACTTGCGTCCCTCAGTTTAGTAAAAGGAAGCAGGAATAATGAGATATTTTAAGTAAATAAATATGTAATATTAATAGCTAGCCACTTATACTCGATTCACTTTAAGTGGTTTAGGAACGCACAAAAATAACTTCCGAAGAAAATATCTTTTTCTTTGGAAGTTACCATTGGAACCCTCGTAAGGGTATACAGAATAAACCACCAGTTTCATCACAATCTGACCAATGACTTAAGAACGCATGGAGAACAAACATACGAACATTAATTTTTATTTATATAGAAGATATATTGAAGATATAATCACAAAATGAACCAAATGCCAGAACTCGTGTTAAAATAAATTATTATGTGATACTGAATTTACTTCCGTCTTGTTAAAACGAAACTTTATTTATATTATTTAAAATACTGCCAACATCCAGTCAAGGTTTGAGATTTATAACAACAGATAGATGGATTAATTAATTTGTCACGCCCTCGTTTGTCCGTGTATGCATTTTTATGTAATACTAGCATTGCCTGCGGCTCCGCTCGCGTTCAGATGACCAAAAACCAAATTCTTAGGTGTTACATATTAATATACTCTTACATTGCCGTTTTTGTATTTTTTCTCAGAAATGAGATATTTTCTCGCGGTAAACAGTATTCTATATGTTGACCCGGATAACTAGCTATCACCATACCTAATTTCATCCAAATCCCTACAGTGATTTTTCTGTGATGTGGTAACAGACAGACAGATAGACAAAAAATCTAAAAACTATAGATTAGACTTCTGTATCAATAATGATGTTTATTTCAATAAGATTTTACAAAAAATATTTGATGTACAGATTCGACTCAGAATTTTATTATATGTATAGACTAGCGGCACACCCACACTTCGCTCGGGTTCATCCCTAGGTACGTTTTAACGGTTAATAGTATAGTATTATGTACATAGGTATGATGAGTTGTTGTAGGTTGTATTATAACGTGTTTTCCTTGGGAATGAGATAATCTCTTGCGGTAAAAAGTAGCCTATGCCACTCTCCAGCCCTCAAATTAATTTAAAAAATCATTAAATCATCGTATATTTGAAAATCATTGTACAATTTTGTGGGTAGATGCTGTCTGTAACAACTATATTATGACCTTTGACATGACTAAAACCTTAGCCTTTCCCGAGCAATGTGAGCTATAAAGAATTCGAAACGTCGGGAACCAAATCCGCGATAAAACCCGAAAAGATGGTTTTATTTAAAATGTCAAATATTCGCGTAAATCTAAGAAAGTATAGTCACAGATAAAATTTTTTTTATCTTTTTGCATTTATTTAAAAACCTATATATGTATGTATACAACAGATTAAAGGAAGTACTTACCGCTGACTGTACTTGCTGTGAGTATAACATCCTGCGCGCGTCGAACACGTTTGCAGTGTGATCGTTCATTTCGAAAGACAACGCGTCAGGAGTTAACGCCTCGCCATGCCTTGCACCATCCGCGCGGGCCACTGAGGATGAGAACAGTCCATATAAAATGAAAATGAAAATTAGCTTTATTCAATCTTATAATATTAATTGAGACATTCTTGTATATATACGTACGATACGTTTTAACGGTTAGTATAGATTTCTCAGAGATGAGATATTTTCTCTGAGTAAAAAGTATCCTATATTGACTCGGATAAACAGCTATCATCATACCAAATTTCATCAAAATCTGCCCAGTGGTTTTCTCGTGATGCGTTCCCAGATAGACAGACATACAGATAGTCAGACAGACTCACAAACAGACACATTTTTTTTAAACTATAGACTCGTCTTCTGTATCGATAATAATGACTATTTCGATAAGATTATCCAAAAAAATATTATATATAAAAATATATATAGGTACAGATTCGACTTAGAATTTTATTATATGTATAAAGGTGTATCTCGAAAACGGCTGTAATGGTTTACATCAAATGGTGAACTTAAATAAAGTTTTGACTTTTAAGTTTTATTATATAAGTGTATTCTCTTTAAAAATGCATTTTTATATAATTTCCGAAAAACCATTTCATTTCCAAAAAACGCCAAATGAAGCTTTGTCGCCCAGGTACCTATATTAACAAGCAATTATTAATTTAAAGGTAGCCAGTGTAGTCGGTCCGAGAAGAATCTACCACCCGTTCTGCTGAGAAGACATACCTATACTAATTTTAATTTTATCATATAACTACAATAAATTGGCAAAAACATCAGTCAAGTACGATAGAGAATAGACTACAAAGAGTATCGTGTTCTTTTTTAGGCCTTTTTACAGTCCTACTGCTGGGCATGGGCCTTCTATTAATATGTCCATCAGGCCATAGTCCACCCCCTGGTGAAGTGCGAGATGGTGGATCTCAACTTTCTTTTGTTCAACTCTCTCAGATATGTAGTTTCATTACGATGTTGAAAATGCGCATAAGAAGTTCCTCATATGCGAATTATTTTCAGAGGTGTGAATCTCGAGGTTTGAATTCGTTTCACATGGTTTTCCAAGCAAGCGCATTTACAATTGGCTACTATTGCCATCTAAGGGGTTTTTTTTAATTAATTTTAAGATTGTAGACTATAGAGAAATTATAAGTATAAGTATAAGTAGCTAGTTATCCAGGTTAACATATAGGATACTTTTTACCGTGGGAAAATATCTCATTTCTAAGAAAAAATACAAAAACTGCATTGTAAGAGTATACTAATATGTAAAACCTAAGAATTTGGTTTTTGGTCATCTGAACGCGGGCGGGGCGGGCAATGCTAGTTGTATTATACATTTAATGTAAACTTAAAAGGTTAAAGGATTTACTGGCTATGTACGCCTATCCCTTTATGTATAAAAAAAGATCAAACGTTTCCAAAAATATAAGTGATTCTTAAATTACTATGGTATTGAAAGCTTTATCAAAATTAGCCCATTTATTTTCTAAATTAGTCAAAACGAACAATTCGTTTTATTTTAAGAAGTCAAAGATGTTAACAATTTTTGGATCTTTGAACTTCATCAAAATCGGTTCACCTTTTCAGCTGTTAAACCTAAACAGTGAGAACCCTGTCACCTTTAAAACATTAGTGTAACATATAGTTTAAAAATATGTAATATGTATCATATGTATTGTATTTATGTACGTTTTAATTTTTTGAGCCGGACCATAATTATTTTTCAAAAATAAAAGTAGCATAAGTTACTCTTTATAACATCAACTATCTGCCTGTGAAAGTCTCGTCAAAATCGGCCCAGTCTTTTCGGAGATTAGCCGAAACGAACAGATAGACAGTTTTTTTTAATTGTATTTTTCTTATAAGTACCGTATATAATAAAAAACTGTTATTTTGACATTACAAAAAGACACTTCAATTTTATTTACCTGTATAGATGTGTTCATTCATTCATAATTAATTATTTTCTTATAAGATACCTACCTTCGCCTACGTTAGGACGATAAATAGAATTATTTTATTAAGTTATTAGGTCAGGTTAGATACGAGTATAGGGGTTTGTAGAAAATATCCATAATATATAAAACAAAGCCAAATTGTTACAACACTTATAACTCGAGAAATACTGGACCGATTTTTATGATATTTGTTTTGTTGGATATGTCTACACCCCGAATAGCAGAATAACTATTAAAACATTGGAAAAATTCACAAAAAAATATCTAATCGCATAGTAATGCGCAAAAACGTATCTAGGGACGAACCTGAGCAAAGCGAAGATTCATCGCTTGTTAAAAATATTTAATAATCTCTAATACAGTATGCAAGGATTGAATATTGAAATATGTGCTGAAACCGTGTATTGTTGTAACACCTGATGGTGACTCAGAACGCTTACGTTTCGAACCAGCCACATTTAAAATGAGAAAGATTTCTGGATTGTACGAATAAATTTTTAATAACACGATAATGGCTAACATTCATTGTAATTTTGTTTATATGTGTATAAATATATTACCTAAGAAAGCTTTTTCTTTGAATTCTTCATTATTACTGAGCAGATTTGTCTCATACTTATAACTCGAGAAATGCTGACCGATTTTTATGATATTTGTTTTGTTGGATATGTCTACACCCCGAATAGTAGAATAATAATTATTTAGCAAAATTATTTGTTGGTGATTATATAAAAATATGATCAACAAGTTACTGTTTTCTATACTAATATTATAAAGAGGGAAGATTTTTTGGTTGTTTGTTACGGAATAAGCTCCGAAAATATTGGACCGATTTAGATGGAACTTGGTAAGAAGATAGCTTGAAATCCTGGGAAGGACATAGGATAGTTTTTATTTCAGAAGACATCCATTAAGGAGGTGAAAAAGGTGATGAAAGTTTATCTGGGGAACCTGAAGTATATATAAAGCTGTAGGTCAATTTTTTCGTTTGAACTTGCAAATCCAAACACAAGTCAAACTTGAAAAATTATTTTCTAACTTAATACTGAGAAAGGCTATAGATATCTAACATGACACTACGTATACTTAGTCCAAAAATATATGTAAATAAAAGAACCGAAACGCGGGCAAGCACTAGGCAAGTATAAATTATACACCAGTCTCTTCGTGACCATGATTGCTGTAAAGCATTCTTAACATCGGGAACCAAAAAAAAACAAAGTAAAAATCGAAAAAGATTTTAATTTAACATCTCAAATATTCGCGTAAATCTAAGAAAATAAAACTTTATCACGTAGATACTTACTATTCATTCTTCGCTTTTATTTTCAATAATATTATTTATGTTTATGGTATAATTGAATCTGCTTCCGGTTTAAAAGTACACACCTATAGTTCTAAATATCTTATTATGTTAAATGAGCAATTTTTGTATATATACGTGTGTCATTATCATCATCACCCTGCCTATTTCCTAAATTACTTGGGATCGGTGCAGTACGTCCAGACTGCTTATTGGTTTTGGAAAAAGTTTTTCGACCGGCCCTTGAGGTCAACCCTCTTTGGGAATGCTGTTGTTCGCCCACCATCGAGCAAGGGACTCATGGTGCAATGTCCCTAGATCCTTTAGTCGTCTTCAAAGAGAGGAGATGGGGTTAAAAGAGCAATTCTTGTATATCTACATCCATACATATAATAAAATTGTAACTAAGCCGAATCTGTACATTAAATATTTTTTGGAAATTCTTATTGAAATAAACATTGTTATCGATACAGAGGCCAAATCTATAGTTTTTAAATTTTTTGTCTGTCTGTCTGTTACCTCTCTGTTACCTGTCTGTCTGTATCGATAATAATGTCTGTTTCAATAAGATTTTCCAAAAAATATTTCATGTACAGATTCGGCTCAGTTAGAATTTTATTACATGTATAGATGTATGTATATAATTTTGAAAGGAGAACCTCAATATCGATCAAACTAAATGAATTATAGTTTATTTTCAACCACAGAACGATCACTAACAAGCATTTCGTATTTATAATAGAAGTGTTATATTTATCTCAGAAAATAAATTCAAAAAGGTTTTTATATATATATTTTATCCCAATTTTTCAAATTAGTCGACCGGGAAATGCATTTCGTATATGACAGTAAAAGCCAAACCTAAATTAGATTAACTGCCTAGTGTTTATTCAGACACAAATAGCAATATCGAAATATTTGGATAAAACCATAACACTTGTATGATGTGGTGGCAATCATTCTATCGGTAGCCACCATTTCATTTTAGAGAGAGCCACAATTTTAGAAAAATAATAATACATACTGATAAATAAAACTGAAGTGTCTGTTTGTAATTTCAAAATGATAGCTCTTTACTATATGCATATGAAATTATATACGGTATTTATAAGAAATACACAATTTTAAATATTTTCTATCTATCTGTCTATGCGTTTGTTCCGGCTAATCTCCGAAACTGCTAGTCCGATTTTGACTGGACTTTCACTGGCAGATAGCTGATATTTTAATGAGTAACTTAGGCTACTTTTAAAAAATATATCTAGAGATGAACCCGAACTCGAACCGCACCCGAACTCCGCCAAAAAAATATATGTAAAGATGAACCCGAGCGAAGCTAGAATAAGTAGCTAGTATAAAAATAAAAATTAACTTTGCATCAAAACAATATTCATAACTCATAACAAATATATTAAGTATAGAATATTTACTAGGTTTTGTTTGATACCCATATTGGTAGATTAACAAAATATTGTTATATTACTACACCCTTCCAGGCACAGTAAGGCAGTAGTAGCCTAGTGGTAACCACTCGCTTGAGAAACAGAATGAAGCGGATTCAAATTTAGGTCTCACACCTCTGATATTCTCACGAGCGAATCATTTCTAACATGATTACCACTTGTCTTATAGTGAAGGAAAACATCATGGGTAAACCTGCATGTCTGTGAGATCCTAGCAAGTTTACGAAAGATAATATGTTAAGTCCGCCAACCCGCAGT